AAGAAATTTGGAAGATGACTATCTGGCTGACTGATTGGAAGAGATCCATATTTGTGCCCATTCCAAAGAGAGGTGACCCAACAGAATGCGGAAATCATAGGACAATCTCTTTGATATCCCATATGAGTAAAGTTTTGCTAATGGTAATACAGAAACAGCTACTATCATACATTGACAGAGAACTTCCAGAGGTTCAAGCTGGATTCAGAAGAGGCTGTGGAACGAGGGATATTATTGCTGATATACGATGGATCTTGGCTGAAAGCATAGAATATCAGAATGATGTTTACCTGTGCTTTATTGACTACTCAAAGGCTTTCAATTGTGTGGATCATGACAAGTTATGGACAACATTGCAAAGTATGAGTATTCCAGAACACTTTATTGTACTAACGTGGAATCTGTCCCTGGACCAAGAAGCAGTTGTTCAAATAGAAAATGGGAACACTGCCCATAAAGAATCTTCCAGCTTGAGATCGAATCCAAACTTGGTTCCAAAATGTGCATTTCTGACACAGTAGGGGGCTTGGCTCATGCTTTCAGTTCCTCCACACAAGACAACTTCAGCATCTTTAAGACAAATTTCCTGACTTCCACTCACAATGGACTGGAACCCAGAGCCACAGAATCTGTTCACAGTGAGAGCTGGGGTCTCTTTAGGAACTCCTGCTCGCAGGCCAACATGCCTTGCCAGGTAGGCAGCATCAGAAGAACTCTGCATAACATTACCCACAATCACACTGTCAACAGTCTCAGGCGAGACGTTACCCGCGGACAAGACAGCCTTGGCAGCAATTTCCGTCATCAGTGGCTGTGAAATCTTTCAGAAGACCTCCATACGCTTCGAAGGGTGTGCGCTTCGCAGCAGATGAACACACCTCGCAGCAGAGACATGGTGGTGGCTTGATTTCAGGGTCTCACTCGGGATGTGCGGGGAGTCTTCTCTGGGCTGTTGCCTCATGAATTTTTTTAGAAGCTGTTCACATATCTGGAAAGACTAATCTGGGAAGACAGCATGTTATTCTTGACCAAGATGGGACACTTGCTGTGGCCTGGAACTAGTAATTTAACCTCTACCTGCTTTTTTGTTGGTAACATGCAATGCTAATTAATATTTAACCTATCTCAAAACTTGAGGATCTGTAAAATGCTGAGTAAGTGCCCAAAGTAAAATATTATTGTGTTTTTTTATTAAAGGTAAAATTTTTCATTAAAAAAAAAGCCAATGGTACTGAAAGAAGTCCAAGGTGCACTGAAGACATTGGCAAAGAACAAAACTCTGGAAACTGATGGAATACACATCGAAATCTTTCAACAAATGACACAGCACTGGAAGTACTCACTCATCTATGCCAACACATTTGGAAGAAATCTACCTGGTCACATTATTGGAAGAGACTCTAGGGCAGAGGAGAAACATAAGTTGTCTGTCCAGGTTTCCTGGTACAGGGTCAAAAGCAAGGGTCTTGTGGGGACCTACCCAGGCATGTGTTCTGATTTGGGTCTAGTTATTGAGGTTGTATCAAATCTGTTCTTCAGATGATATCTAAATTTAGGTGGGATATATTCACAGTCATATTTTGACCCTTGTGGACTTGTTTTCATTTACTTCAGCTTCAGTCTGAATTTGCATATAAGCAATCTGCCCCTGGCCTTGTTTTGGCTGATCATATGGAGCTCTTCCACCATCTCTTTCCACAGATGTAGTCAGTTTGATTTCTGTGTATTCCATCTGATGAAGTCCATGTGTGTAATCATCTCTTATGCTGTCTAAAGAAGGTATTTGAAACAATCATATCATTGGTTTTGCAGAATTTCATCATGCAACCTCCAGCATCATGTCTATCACCAAGGCCTTATTTCCAACTACTGATCCTTCCTCTTTGTTCCCAGCTTTTGCATTCCAATCACCAGTAACAATTAATACATCTTGATTGCATGTTTGATCAATTTCAGATTGAAGAAGTTGGTAGAATTCTTCTATTTCATTATCACTAACTTTAGTGGTTGATGTATAAATTGGAATAATACTGGTATTAACTGGGCTTCCCTGTAGGCATATGGATATTATCCTATCTCAGACAGCAGTGTACCTCACGATTGATCAAGATATGTTCTTTTTGACAATGAGTGCAACACCATTCCTCTTCAGTTTGTTATTTCTGGCATAGTAAATCATGTGGTTGTCACATTCAATATGGCCAATACCAGTCCATTTCAGCTCACTAATGCCTAAGATATTGATGTTTATGCATTACATTTCATTTTTGATAATTTCCAATTTTCCTAGAGTCATACTTTGTATATACCATGTTCTGATTATTAATGTATGTTTGTAGTTGTTTCTTTTCATTTTGAGTTGTTTGAAGAGCCCCATCAGCAAATGAAGGTCCCAAGGGCTTTACTCCCATGAGCTTTACTCCATTCACGTCATCACAGTCAACTGTACTTAGAGGAGGCCGTTCTTCCCCAGTAGCATTTTAATTGCCTTCCAACCTGAGAAGCTCATTTTCTGGCATTATCTGATCATGAGCCAATGATATTGAAGGAAAAAGTCCAAGGTGCATTGAAGGAATTGGCAAAAACAAAACAAAAACCAAGGCACCAGGAAATGATGTAATAAAAATTGAAATCTTTCAAGAAAGTGAGGCAGCACTGGAGGGACTCAATCAGCTATGCCAAGAAATTTGGGACACAACTATCTGGAAAACTGATTGGAAAAGATCTGCATTTGTGCCCATTCCAAAGAGAGGTTACCCAACAGAATGTGAAAATCATCAGACAATATCTTTGATATCCCATGTGAGTAAAATTTTATTAAAGGTAATACAGAAACAACTGCAAGCATACGTTGACAGAGAACTTCCAGAGGTTCTAGCCTGATTCAGAAGAGGATGTGGAACGAGGGATATCATTGCTGATGTACGATGGATCTTGGCTGAAAGCAGGGAACACCAGAAAGTTATTTACTTGTGCTTTATTGACTACGCAGAGGCTTTTGATTATGTGGATCATGACAAGCTATGGACAACATTGTGAAGTTGTCCTGAACACTTAATTGTGTCATGAGGATTCTGTACCTGGACCAAGAAGCAGTTGTTTGAACAGAATATGGGAACACTGAATATTTTTAAATAAAGAAAGGTGTGTGACAGGGTTGTATTCTTTCTTCATACTTATTCAATGTGTATGCTGAGCAAATAATCTGAGAAGCTGGGTTCTATGAAGAAAAATGTGACATCAGGATTGGAGGAAGAGCCATTAACAACTTGTGATATGCAAATGATACAACCTTGCTTGCTGAAAGTGAAGAGGACTTAAAATATTTACTGATGAAGATCAGAGGGCACAGTCTTTGGTATGGATTGCATCTCAATGTAAAGAAAATAAAAATCCTCACCACTGGACCAATAAACAACATTCTTAATCAACAGAGAAAAAATTGAAGTTGTCAAGGACTTCATTCTTCTTGGATCAGCCATCAACATTCATGGAAGCAGCAGTCAAGAAATAATATGATGTATTGCATTAGGCAAATCTGCTGCACAAGTGTAGAAGAGGACTTAGGTGAAGATGTCAGCTTGAGGACTAAGGTGCGCCTGACCCAAGCCATGGTATTTTCAATAACTTCATATGCATGTGAAAGCTGCACAGTGAATAAGGAAGACCTTAGAAGAATTGATGCTTTTGAGTTACGGTTGTTGGAGGAGAATATTGAAAGTGCCATGGGCTGCCAAAAGAACCAACAGATCTGTGTTGGAAGAAGTGCAGTCAGAGTGCTCTTTGGAGACCAGGATGGCCAAATGTAGTTTCTCATACTTCAGAAATATTGTCAGGAGGGACCAGTTGCTGGAGAAGAATATCATGTTTGTTAAGGTGGAGAATCAGAGAAAAAGAGGAAGACCCACCCCAGCAAGATGTTGTTGTTGTTGTTGTTGTTGAGTGCCATCGAGTCGGGTCCGACCCATAGCGATCCTGTACAGGGTTTCCGAGGGTGTAAATCTTTACGGGAGTAGAAGATTTTGCCAGTCCATCTTACCCCAGCAAGATGGACTGGCAAAATGGCAGCATCAATGGGCTGAAGCGTGGCTACAGTAGTGAGGTTGGTCCAGAACCGGGCAGTGTTTCGTTCTGTTGTGCATAGGGTCACTATGAGTCGGTACGGACTCGATGGCACCTAACAACAGCAATTCAGAGAGGTTATGTTATTTAATCTCTTTGAGCCAGTTTTCACATTCGTAAAATACGGAAACATACTCTGACCTCCTTGGGTTGTTAAGAAGTTCAATAAGAAAATATTGGTAATAGCATATAGCACCAAACAGATAAGGTGTATTTCTCCTTTCCCTATACTTTTGCTGCTTTGCTGGATATTTAACAAATTCTGCTCCAGTAAAGAATTACAGCCTCGGAAACCCTGTTCAGGGTCGCTAGAATTCGCAATGGACTCCAGGGCACAAAACAATAGGATCGGAGGCGGTAACCAGGGCTTTAGAAAGCTTCCTGGTGCTTGTAAACGTCCTTGGCTCCGCCCTAGTGGAGAAGCCCTTCCCCTCCCAGTCCCTACCCAGCAGCTCCTTCTCTTCCCTTGCATTTAGGGTTCTTGTTCCACATTTTCCGTCAGACTTCCTTTCCCTACTGGCCGATCCAAGGAGGCCAGCACTTTGGAAGGAAGAATGGGCGCTGCGTTGGAGCTGGGGGCCGCGGCGGAGCGCTCACTGTTGTTGTGCGCTCTGCTGCTAGGTGGGGGCTGCGCGTTGGGTCTACGGCTGGGACGCGGGCGGGGGGCAACGGACCGCGCCATGATAGCCTGGCTCTGCTATGACGCCCTGGTGCACTTTGTGCTGGTAAGTGAGGTCGCTGCTGCCAGCGCATGTGTGTGCTCACTGAGTCTGGGAAACGAAGGCAAGGGTAGGCTCTGCGGCGCTCTGCCTGCCGCCCCCTGCCCTGTGACTGTAAATAGGGAAGACTTGGGAGGTACTTGGAGGTACTCCAGAGGTGCTAATGATCCATGGTACAACTCTCAAGAGTTTTGATTTCCAAATCTGTAAAAACAAAACGCATTAATGCCACTGAGCTGTACGTATGAAAATTGTCGAATGGTAAATATTTTGTTATCTGTATACGGGGGTGGGGGCGGGGCTTCAAACGTTTGTGGAAAACAGAATTTTTTCACGACTTTTTTGAAGCCTCTATGTATTTACCATAATAAAAAAAAGAGAGATCCAGCTTCCTTAGTGGCATCAATTTTTCTTTCAATTAATACCTGAAAACCTGTGGAATAACTTCTGTATCTTGTTATGTAAGTTTGGTTTTGTGAAAGATGAGACTTTGCTTACTTAGCATTTTGTAACCTGCACGTAAATATGGGACTGAAGGTAATTGTGAGTTAATAGGTTGGCGGTTCAAACCTATCAGCTGCTCCTTGGAAACCCTATTTGTTGTTGTTGTTGTTGAATGCCGTCCAGTCAGTTCCAACCCATAGCGACCCTGTACAGGGTTTCCGTGGCTGTAAATCTGTACGGGAGCAGAAAGCCTCATCTTTCTCCCGCGGAGCGGCTGGTAGTTTCGAACTGTTGACCTTGTGGTTCACAGCCCGATTCGTAACCACTACGCAACCAGAGCTCCTTCGGAAGCCTTATATACAGGTCGCTTATGAATCAGAACTGACTCGACTGCACAGAACGATATAGTTTGAATGCTACAGAGGAAGCCAGTCTGTCAAGCAAGACCAAGTGATAGGGCGCATTGTGCAGCATCCCGGTCCTGTGCCAAACAAAACGTATACAGAACATTCATCACTTATTGAGTACCTACTGTGTGTCAGGCTCAGTGCGAGACGCTTAAATTTTCCAATCTTTCCAACATCCTACAGTTTACTCATTATTTATTGTCCCCATTTCACAGGGGTGAGGGGATGATCTTGAAAAGTTAGGTGATCTTCCAACACCACATGGCTAGCAGGATTCTGAGTTAGGTTGCTCAGCGTCCAGGCTTGCATGTACTGCTCTAGGAAACTGCTGTGCTTCTAACATTTCAACCCACTTTAGAAATAGGTTGTTGTTAAGTGTGGTGGAGTCAGTTCAGACTCACAGCAATCCTAAGTACAACAAAACAAAATGCTGTCCAGTCCTGCACCATCCTTACAGTCCTTCCTATGCTTGAGGCTGTAGATGCATCCTCTGTGTTACTCCACCTCATTGAGGTCCTTCTCATTTTTGCTGACTCTCCACTTTACCAAGCATGATGTCGGTCTCTGGTCCTTCCTGATCACAGGTCCTAAGTATGTGAAATGAAGTCTTGCCATCACTTTTTTTTTTTTTTTTTTTTTTTTTTATCTCTCCACCAATGAAATTTATTTTTTAAGGCAATGTCAAGTAAGTGACACAATTACATGATTTTTAATTTTATCTTCAAACATTCTAACATGCTGTGCATTATTATACTTTTTTAATAGCATATAGGTGATGCATTGTTTTTTCATGAATGAGCCACTGTGTTTGGTCTTAGAATGTGTAGTCATAGCTTACATGGCATAAATAAATCCTTAGCAGCATACGTTCTCCTGTCCCTGAAAATCACCCCTTATCCTATTCCAGTCATCTAACTCTCCAGATTAAAACACAATGTAACTCTGATTCATTAATTCTCAGATAGTGATGATTCTTGGTATATCGTGTATTTAAGCCATTAAAATAATGATTTGTATTTTAAGGTAACAGTCTTTTTTTTTTTTTTTTTTTAAGTATACATATAGTTTAATGATTTTAATTAAATTTATACAGTTGTACAACCATCTCACAATGCAGTTTAAAAATGTGTTTATCACCCCAAAATGTGATTTGCAGTCAAATCCAACTCCAACTCCCAGCACGAAGCTGGATTCGCCTGTTCTGAACATTTCATATAAATGTGATGGTAGTGTGGTGATGGTGGTGATGGTAGTGTGCCGTGGAGTTAGTTTTGACTCATAGCAACCCTGAATAGGGTTTCCGGGCCTGTAAATCTTTAGGGGGACAGAAAGCCTCATCTTTCTCCCATGGAATGGCTGGTAGTTTCAAACTGCTGACCTTGAGGTTCACAGCCCGACTCGTAACCACTGCGCTACCAGAATCATACATATCTTTTGTGTGGTTTCTTTCACATACCATGTTTATTTGTTGTTTTTTTTTTTTCTTAAATGTTTTGTTGTGAATTATGTGATAGTTTACATAGGAGGACATTAGTTTTACATTCATTGTATCGTATATCATCTCATTGCTATGGTTACAATTCCCTCCATGCATCACCAACCAACCAAAGGGTACCATGCAAGCCTGCCCCCCGCACCCCTTGATTCTTCAGAACACAGTCTCTCTCTCTCTCTGGATCTAAAGTCCCCAGCTGCTCCATCGCTCCACGTCATTGTCTCTGCCTCCATCTCAGGCATCACTGCTACTCTGGGTAGGGTCCCGCTCTCCGCTCTTCTCCCTTGATGGTCCTAGGGACCTCTGCTCCTAGACTGGAAAGTTAATGACTGCCCCCCTTGCTATAAAACGTCTACCTTTACCTTTCCAACCCTCACAATCAGTCCTGATAACAATTATTCACTATTGTATCACAAGAGATGGGTCTGCATTTCATTTCATCAGTCCCACCTAGACAGATTGGATACTACTCACTGGAGATTCTACCTTCCTCCAGGCCCTTTGGATCTAGGTTCCCTCTTGAAAGCTTGTAAGCAAGTCACTTCTTGCCTTTGTAGCCCTCCCCTCCCCTTTTTGGGTAGCCAATGGCCAAGTTGTCCATCCCTGTATACTCTGTGTGTGGAGGGGGTGGGAATGATTCTTGCTGTAAGAATTTGCTTCCATAGGTGTAGGTCAAGTTCATCAAATTGTATCAGAATACTTTTTTTCCTCTTCTTTCTTCTTCT